GTTGCTGCTGATCTGTTTCATGTTGCTGCTGATCTGTTTCAATGTTGATGTGTTCATGCGTGCACATCTGCTCACAGACTCATGTTCATGTTTGTGCTGATGTTCAATGTTTTATGTTATGAGTGCTTAGTGTATATTTAGTTGATGTTTTTCTTAGTTCATATCTTAGATGTTATTACTGTTTTTCTTAGACATTTTATTGTTGGATGTAACTGGGACCCTGTGTACATAATTTCGCTCCACCACATGTACCACATGAGGTGCGAATGACAATAAAGAAACTCTGACTCTGACTCTGATATATATATAGGGCCTATATACAATTATCTTGGCTTGTACTTATGTGCGTTCATGTTCAAACAGGTGGTTTTTAACAGATTTTTGGGCTGGAAAACCCTGACTATCTGGCAACACTGGGTGAGTCATTCACAATACTTAGTCCAATCGTTGTGCAACATATTTGCTGAACATTTTAACATTAACCAAAACATGTTTGTACAACTGGACAGGTTGTAATGAGCCTGTCAGAAGGTCATCACTGAACTCCATTGTTACCTGGCCACCGCAGACATCTTCTCCTTGTGCAGCAGTCTCCGCTCCTCGGGGCTGAGCGCGCGCTGCCTCTCAGTCAGCGCAGCCTCGTCTGGACCGAAGAGCCGGGAGTAAAGAAGCCGACTCTCCCCGGCTGACAAAGCGCTGACAGGGCGCACGGTGTGGATCAGGAAGCACCGTACCATATTCTCTAATAATAATAATAATATACGCAGCTGCTTAGCTCTTAGGAACAATTTCCTTACGTTGCATATAGCTATTTCAGGTAACTTCCGGGTTTGATCACGTGACCGCTCTCGGACGGTTTGTTGTAATACTTTAACCCAACCGGAGGATGGCGCTGGCGATTTTGTTCTCATTGTTCTAACCAACTAAAAGAAAAATAAAACTAATTTCTGTGACTTTTTGGTGATCACTCAGTTATTGAGACTGTAAATCTGGAGACGTTTGAACACAGTACAATGTAAACAGGTAAACAGGTTTTCAGTTTTGTTAATATAGGCTAAATGAGAAGCTGATTTAATGTCTGATTAAATGTTCCATCACAAGTCAAAGTTTCACAAATCAAGACTGAGTGGGACCATAGGGTCTCAGGAGACTTATGCCTCTTTTCCAGTTCCAGTTCAGCATGGTAGAGCTGGTTTTCCATAATAGAGCTTTAGAACGTGGCATCCATAGATATAAACACTAGATGCCTCATTGGCTGCTGCGGCGCAGGAATTTCGGCCGCGTCTTGGAGCGGTCGTCCTTATTTGGTTAAAGAAGAAGATGTCTCAGCACTTCGCAGCTTCTTTCTGTTCTAATCGACGGATGTTGACGTCAGGTCTCGGGGGATAACTTTTCACAGTAAGATGAACATATTATTGTTAGTATTTTGTGAATATAATATTACTGTACTGTATTTATGTCCACCAACTGATGTGATGTTCAGTGTAACACGGTGTTCAGCTGCAATGAAGCTGACTGAGATCTGATAACAGGAATATTTTGCTAACAATCATACTCACTATTTCAGCAGCTTTGGTTCATTATCAACAGATATGTATCATAATTGGAGTTTTGTTTAAGTTCTAGAAAATAAAAAAAACAAAACTAGGGAGAATATAGGAAATAGAAAGTAAGATTGACCTCCTCGGGCAGCATGATGGCGCAACAGGTAGAGCTGCTGCCTCTCAGCGAGCAGGTCCCTGGTTCAAACCCCGGTCCAGGGGCCTTTCTGTGTGGAGTTTGCATGTTCTCTCTGTGCATGCGTGGGTTTTCTCTGGGTACTCCAGTTTCCTCCCACAGACCAAAAACATGCATGTTAGGCTGATTGGTAACTCTAAATTGTCTCTAGGTGTGAGTGAGAGAGTGAATGGTTGTTTGTGTCGTTTGTCTCTATGTGGCCCTGTGATGGACTTGCGACCCGTCCAGGGTGTACCCCGCCCCTCGCACAGTGATTGCTGGACATGGGCACCGGTGACCCCCGTGACCCGAAATGGAATAAGCGGGTAAAGAAAATGGATGGATGGATGGATTGACCTCCTCTGTGCAATGTTTTTGTGTAGACACAAATCTCCTGCTTTCATTTTGAAGGTTTCCCAAAGAACAAGATGTGAGGAAGAGGAGGAAGTATCTTTGAGGAGGATTCATCTGAGCAGTGAGGATTTGAAACTGGAGGATTTTGATCAAACTGGTCAGACTGTCCGACTGAGAGATGGTGTGGTACCATGGGTTCACCTTCAGAGAGTAGGAGCATCATTATAAGTTCATTAGAGTTCATAAAGTTACATATTTTATTGTGAGTCACAAGGTGAGACACCTCCATGTGTTTCTATGAACAGGTAACTAGAGACTGTAGAGTTCATATTCATGATGCTTTTTCATTTCAGCTTGAAAACTGCAGGACTACAGGAAGTGAACAAAAGCTGCAGCTGCTCTGTCTGTGGCCTCTCAGGAACGTGCACGTCACACACACAACCTTGGCCTCATGATGTGAGTATTTCTATTTTAAACTTTTATTTTTCATTTACCCTTTATTTATACAGGTAGTCTCATTGAGTCACGAGAACTCATTTTAAAGAGAGACCTGTTTAGGAGCAGATGGTGGGGGTTGAGTGCCTTGCTCAGGGGACCAGGGTGGGGCCAATGAGGGTGGAGGCAGGTGTGGGTGTTTCACCTTTTCCACCTCATTTTGATGTTGATGGTACCGGGAGTTGAACCTGCGACTTTCCGATCACAGGCCCATCTTCTAACCTCTGCTCCACCACTCCCCCACATAACATCATATCATACTGGTCGTATTAAAATCTCACTGGTTTCCTTCCAGATATGTTAAACAGCTACTGGTCCTCCTGATGTTTGCAGGTGTGTGTGGTCAGTGGATGAAAAGCCTGGCATGAACAAGATGATGCTGGAGATGATGATTTGACGAGAGCTCCCACCTTCTACCTGTGAAGAACAAGAGCAGCTCAGTGAAGGTGCTGAGAGCTGCAGAGAGGCTGATCCATGGAGCTTCAACACAGCAACCTCCAAACATGTCCACCCTCACACACATCGTCCATGAGGACACTGGACCAGAGCACAACATAATAAGACACTGACAACAACAACAACAGACATTCACAAATGATTCATACAAATTTAAGTTTTTTTTAATTGTTTGTTTGTTTTACAATTGAAAAACAGTTTGTTATCCACTGTTGTCATCACTCTTTGTTAAAATCCAGGTCTCTCTTGTAAATGAGTCCTAGTGGCTCAATGGAACTAACCTGTATCAATAAAGGTTGAATGAATATAAATATATACATAATGATTTATTCAACCTTTTATTTATACAGATTGGCTTCATGGAGCCACAAGGACTCATTTACAAGAGAGACCTGATTTAACAAAGAATGATGACAACATGACAACAAGATTGACGTAATTTAAAGTTATAGATCATTTGTCAAAGACTGCAGCATAAATTGTGACATTATCATTAAAGAAAAACGTGATTGTGGAGACGAGTCAATATTTTTCATGTTTTCCAGGTGAACCAGAGGAGAATGACTTCATGAACTGAATGTTGCATTCAAAGTATCACAAAGGTACAAGATCTCATTTTCTGTCTTCTATTAATCAATAACAGCTGAATCAAGATGTTTGAATAAAATTACTTTAACACCATAACCTTCACAAAGTTGGTATTTACTGCAGGACTGTTAAATTACATTAGTTTTATATTATTAGTTTAATGTTTGGTGATCATGGGTCAAGTTGAGATGAGACTCTTTCAAGACAGAACAAGAAATAAGAATTATTACAAGAATATATCAGCATCAATAAACTGTAGAACAGTAACAAAACACTTATTAAACTATCACAGGTACATTGAGATGGAGCTGGAAGTTATTCTTCATGCCAGTTGTCTTCATATGATCTTTTGTAAAAATATGTCAATTTATTTTCCATTGTTAACATTTTTCTTGAGTTAATTTTCTTGTCTGAGTTTCTTCTGTCTTGCTTATCTATTTTTTTGTTCTAATTGTTCCTCAGGTTTTCATCTCTGTTCCCTGACTGCCTGTTGATTCATCCTCCTGGTCCTGTTGATCCATCCTCCTGGTCCTGTTGGTCCATCCTCCTGGTCCTGTTGATCCATCCTCCTGGTCCTGTTGATCCTGGATCATCAGATCCTGACATGTCCCCGTCCTCTGAGGACACATTTTCATCTTTCCCTCATCTCACTCGCCTCATTTCTGTTTCTTCCTCAGTCTCTGAAATTACAATGACACTGTTAGAATGAAGATTATTGTTCAATAAAAATATGACATGAATTATTTAACACTATTCGTACCAAAGTTTAATTTAGAACAATATGTGTGATCACTGGTCAGGTCACTGGTCAGATCACTGGTCAGATCACTGGTCAGATCACTGGTCAGGTCACTGGTCAGTGGAAGTTCTGCTGTTCTTCTCATCTGGTTCTGGTCCATGAACAAATGGTTGAACCTCCTTCTGTCTCACACGTCCTCACTGTGTCTCTGTGAACTGTCCTCTCTCTAAATGTGCCTGTAGAGTGACATTAGTTTATTTTCTTGCACATTTCTTTGACAGTTAAACATTTTGAGCCCTGATTGAAAATGTTTGTGCAGATTAAATTTACAGCTCTCACTTTGTGTTGTTGTGATGATGATGATGGTGCTGCTGCTGACTTGAGATGATGTCATTAATAAACAGTATAAATGTCAGTAAAAGTACTTTATTAAAGCTTGTTATACATTTTAGATATTTTATAATAAATTGTTTGGAAATTTATTTTTGCACAATTAACACTTATTTTGTCATCTGTTATGATTTTAACTAGAAACAGTTTCATTTAAATTAACATTTTAATCAATGAATTACAGTTTTACAATAGTTGTCAGACTATAATCAACTCAGTTATCCAGGTACTTGGTTGCCATACAAAAACGACAAATACAACAATTATATTCAGGTCTCTTGTAAATGAGTCCTCGTGACTCAATGGGACGAACCTGTTTAAATAAAGTATCCTGATGCATGCTCAATAATCCAGGTAGAAAAATCCAAAAAAGTTCAATCTGTTCCACTGGACATTCAAAAAAACAAAAGCAAAAAAAATCTAGAAACGTTTCGTCTCTCATCCAAGAGACTTCCTCAGTCTGAGGTGCTGTTTTCAGCTCAGTCTCTTAAATAGCACCTTCTTAGAGTGGATCAACCAGTTTGCTGCTGACAACCAAAACCAGCTGATCACATGCTCAAGAAGGACCATCAGCCTAACAATGGATCATTAGCACACTGATGGCTGTTTACTACTCACAGAGGGCTGAGTGATACTAGCAATCACAGCATTGTAAGAGGGGGACAGTTGAACCCGGAGGCCTCCACCCCTGTTTAATGATGGACGATTTATTTTCACAAAGATGGCCTCCTTTACTCCTCTCTCAAACCATCGTTCCTCTCTGTCCAGGATGTGAACATCTTCATCCCTGAAAGAGTGAC